AGATACATAATATTTAAAATTACTTCATAAATAATATGCACTATTCAAAGAATCTTGAGGGACAATATCAGTAGTAAAATTTTAATTAATTAATTTTATATTACCAAGAACCAGAAGTAATGATATATCATCACTGATATCTACTGTACTAAGCTATATTTCATACTCGTATTTGATTTTGTAAACTCTCGTTGATTTGAAGGAATAATCATTGATCTCTCACAATGAGAGTTTCTATAAATATTGGCCGTTTTCATATCAACATGTAAGGTAATAAAGTATTAAACTCTATCAAATTTACAATTGAATATTATGATATTGAGATATATTTCTTGAATTCCTATTTGGATATTTGTCATGGTTACTATTATTTTTAAGTTTATCTTCAACTAAGCTCCTACACGCATAAATAGTATTTATTTATCAACCAATTCGTGATCATTAAACTTAATTTTATCATTTAATTGATCTTATATATTTTTTACCATCAAAATAATATGAATTTAATGCTCCAATAGTGGAGAAATATTTTAGCTCAAAAAATATTAGCTTAACTAGAGAACTGTAGTTGGAAGCCTTGAAAGTGATTGCAAGTAAGATAATCATATATGCTAAATATTATTTGACAATTGAAGTAGACTTTATGGGTAGACGTTCAAGAGTTTTAAAAGGCGTTGGAAGCCCTCACCAAACGTCATGTTATTGAATTTCACTTTAGTGGGCACATAAGGTGATAACTCAAGCAATGATCATGTTAAAGGGGCAATAAGAATATTGTTTAAAGTCTAAGAAATATAGGAATATGATGAGTACACATTTAATGCTCTACTTATGCATTTTCACATGATGGTTTTTGAATTGTATCATTTTCTTATTTTATACCAGGATGGGAGCATCAAGATTAATGAGAGAAGAAATAAATGATTAATAATTGTTGGAGAGAAGAGGATTAATAGATAATCCTGATGCATAAGCATGTGCATATATTTATTCTTAATTTCATCATCGGTTATTGAAGAATTAGTGAACATAAAAACATAAAATTATAAAACTGACTTGTTATTTTTACAAATTGAGAGGAGCATAAGGGGTATGCCTACAATAGGGCCTACGATCTTAAAAGAGAACCGGCCACCAGCTGGCCCCCGCATTCGCAATCACCTCTTCCTCTTCCCCTGTTGGGTGTGGTTCTCTCCTACCATGGAACCAGCCTCCTCTTCCCTTCTCCCTCGATGCCAACTGCACACCATAGGTGTGCCAGCTCTTCCCTCCTTTCCTTTCGGGTGGTGACAGCATAAGGCACGATAGTAGATCTCCTCCCTTGGCACAACAAGAAGAGAATCAACCATTCGAGCGTCTTGCACGTGGCCGCCGCATGCTCCCCATGTCCGTCAAAATAAGAGGTAGAAGATAGAAGTTTATTTCTATTTTCATTCCATTTCCTGTATTGTAAGTGAACTTTGATTTCAGTTTATTACAATTTTCATTTTTGTGAGCTCTATGCGTCTTTCCAGTTCAGTGAGTTGATTCTATCAATTTGCTGAAGGATCAGAGTTAATCCATGGTTCCTGTGATTCATGAAGATCATTAGGAGACAGAAATGAGCATTGGCTGAATTTTCCCCCCTTGACGAAGCATATAGTGAGCATCACCGCCAAAATTAACAAAACACGTGTGGACTTCATGATTTCAAATCCTCCCTAAGTTCAACCTAATTTTCCACTAATTTTTCAAGAAAACTAACCTCCAAAAATCAATTTATAAATGTAAGATTGATGATCTTAATAACAACGATTTTTGAGCCATCATAAGGCTAGGCAAACTGACTTGAGTAAAGGTTCCTAAATCTAAGATGTCATCCAGCACATAGAATACCCAAGAGATAGGAAATTTTTTAAGGGATCTTAACACTATTTCTTGGCGGTGCAAACCCTAAAACAAGGAAACTTAATACTTACTAACATTTACCTTCCCAATGACACAATATTGTGGTGACATGATTATGGGGAGAACTATTCCCAACCCTCTATTAGGATGTGTGATATGTTCTCAATGATTAATATAGTACTTTCCTACAAATAATGTGTATATGAATTGAGATGTGCTCGACTTGTTATGCCATACTTGATTCATTATAGAGTACATGAAGTACTTTGCTTAACTAGTCCTGGATATCAAGAACAAGTCTTACCACGATAAGTTTTTCAATTTGATGGCAGGCCTCTATGATTGGGCATAGGTAGAGCTACAAAACTGGGAAGCTAGTGACATATAGTCAGCCATGACCATGATTTATGCCTTGGTAGAGCACAAGGGCAGCAGCATAGTTGATTCAAAGTCGGCAACTAGGTATCAAGATGATAATAGGCAATGTTGGCACTATGTCGTAGTCGTGGTGGAGATTGTGGAAGCAGACATGGCCACTATAAACATGACTACCAGCAGCAATGAGATAAGCCCCAAAGAGAACCCAAAAGGGCGTACAGTACCCAATGAAATACCTCGCCAATGTAGGGTTGTCCCATCTATGCCTCACCCCATGGCATGAAGGATTATACATCAAGGTGTACTTTGTACTATGGTGGCGCATGTGGTGCCAAGAGTAGTAACCGAATGGTGAATCCTCTTCAATTGCTAAGTATGCTGTAATAGCGTAGAGAGGTTGGCAGCGCAGATGAGCTCAAACTCATTCATTGAGAAGCCATCATCAATGAAAAACTGACAATAGTGGTGCTCAAAATCAAGGTGAGTCCCAAATCTCTCTTGAAGAAAAGTATCCCGATGAGGCTTAAGAATGTCACAAGGAGACACACAAATCTATATTGTCAACTCAAATTCATGTATCCTAACTTTTGTCATGTGAGGTGCCCAGTGCCAGTTAGATCATAGACGGATAGCATGAACTTCATTGTAGTGATTCTAGATTACTTCAATACCGTACTATGTACATATATCTTGACCTAATGTTAAATAAAGATCTTCCCATAGGATGGAGTCATTGAAAGAGGACCAATATCGTGCTTTGTTTTGAAGGAGAAGGGTTCCACGCGATGACTACAACTGTTTTACATTGTTGCTACGAGGTTACTTGCAAAGAGAAAGAAATCTATCTCACCACAAGATGAACGGGGCCTGCACGAGTGGACAAACGCATTGAGCATACCTTCGCATGCGCAAGTGAGTATGTTGCGGAAAGCACGAATTTAATGTGACTTGAAGTGCTCCAATGAGGTTCTTTTGCAAGGAGACTCACACCATAAGTCAGACATCTACTGAAAGAGTTCTAGGATGCAAAGAGGGAGTGCACTGAAAGCTCTTCGAAGGATAAGGTATAATCCACAACCCCCTCAAATGTCACCCTCTGATCATCATGCTTAATTGTTCATTTGAGGGAAGTTTATCCACAATGTATCGTCCATAAGAAGTGAAGACTAGATATCCCTTGAGTCGTGTGTTTCTGCACATCTGTTTAAGGTCGGCCGAGTGACTAAAAGAAGATGACCTTGTGATACCTTCTAGGAAAGTTTTTGTAAACTAAATTAACTATTAAATAAATTTAACTAAATTAACTATTTGTTGGTCAACATTTTTTTCCAATCAGTAATTATTTTGTTTGAATCTTATTATCTTTCTTCCCCCGATCAAGCACATAGAGGAAACTAGAAAATGTCACGTTAGAGCCACCCATTTGATAATCTTTCTTTGTCACTGCCCCCAATCTCTATAATTCCATCTCTCTTCTAAGTACGTACAAAGGACCAGGCATGGGCTTCATAAAGCCTCTAGCCTGGAATCTACTATTTAGGCTTATCTCAAACACACCCAGGACCATGCTTGGCTTTTCTCCAAGGATATCTGAATTTGTTGGTACTCTTAAATTCAAGGATTAAGAACGTTGTTTTTTGCATTTATGAAAAATACTTTTCAAGAAGAGGAAAGATGATGATTTTTCCTGTAAGTTGCAATTCATGCGTAAGAGTATAGAAGACAAGGAAAAGAATTATTATTGCACAAATTATTTAAGTAAATTGGCACCAAGGAGAGTTTACAAAATCCATCATGACCTTTGAGTAATTTATATATATATATATATATATATATATATCGTTTCACAACGGCAATATTGAGAACATGATATTTATGGGACTTTTAAAGATCATATGCAAACGGTGTAAGACATAATATTTTTGCAATCTAAGATGACTCTGATTGTTTACTGTTTTCCACACATCACACAATTCCGGACAGATGTGAGAGCTCATAGTTCTTGTGCCTTCCCTTATAATGCGACAGAATGTTAGATTTAATAGGAATTTCATGATTTCAAGAAAGATAATGGACGATATTTATCATTGACTGTACATTTGTTGTGAAATTTACGTGAATTTTGGCTTTGTGGCGGGTGACGCCGTTCCTAGTATACTAAATTATCACATCAACCTCTTTCTACTAATTCATATTAGGCTAGATATTTCCCATCTGCCAATGACTATGGTGGTTTTATTTGAACGGTTTCTCTACCCTCTTTTCGCCTATGCAATCCTGCGAGTCAGCCGTTTTTCATTGTCAGAAGTGAAAATAAATTATTTCCTTTAATATTTAATTTTTATAATATTTTTCAAGATAAAACTAAGTTTGACCTGTAACCTTTGAAAATTATTATTTTCTCTTGTAAACATGGAAGAGAAAACATCGAACACCTTGCTGGTGGACAATCCGTCTAGGCCAAACCACGTGCCGAATCGAGCTGAAAGATCGACGGCCGCACCCGAATGCATCTACGGCTCGCTGTTACGCAAAAACCAGATCTTTTCTAACTACGAACAAGTGCGGCATTTCTTCCTTCATGAGAGTTGAAAATCATCTTGCGTAGCCCACCTGTCCCTTCTCCTCTTTATTTTGACTAATTCTTCTACGGACAGTTCCGTGTGCAATAAAGATCTTGTGGGTGCGAAGTTCGCCCCGACAAGTCTTCGCTCCGTCTACCTCCCTCTGGCCCGATGAGAAGAGCTGCGAGCCCTATGCCGCTCCTCTCAAACTCCCTATTCATCTTTCTCCTGCTGTTTCCATCTTTTTCTGCCCAGCCATCGCGGTCGGCTAGGGACGGGGAGGTGATTGTCACCGATGAGTCGCCGTCGCCGTTCAAGGTGGGCGTCGTTCTCAACCTGAGATCTCCGGTTGGGAAAATGAGCCGCCTCTGTATGGAGATTGCCGTCTCCGACTTCTACCTTGCTCATACGAACTACACCACCAGGCTGGACCTTCGATTTCGGGAATCCCAGCGAGATCCCGTCACCGCAGCCTCTGCTGGTACGCCGTTTCTCCCGATTTTGGCAGATCTCATCCATACACCTCTTCAGATTTTATTGTTGACTTGAAGAAGTTTGATTTTGAAACATAGATGTGGTAGAAAAGAGAAAACCTAGTTTTGATTCCCCCAATCTCATCTGGAGATTGGGGGCGGGATTCACGAAAGGATTTTCGCTATTTGTATCTTATAAGACATGACAACATAAATGACAGATAGCTCGCTACAAAAACATCCAGATATTTCCGAAATACTTTCGTCTCTACTTTTCCGGAGTGCTTCCTCAATACTACTATATTCAGAAAGTTGATTCCATAGTCTGATTGATTATTCCCCTTCACAATTAGCGGTAAGACATTCCACCTCTTTGATCTATCCAGTTTCTTCAGATTCTATCCTGTTTCTGTAATTCATTATGTCTTGAATAAATTCCATAAATGCCAAGCTTTGTTCAAGTTTCCTCGCTTGATTTGATTCATGCAGCTGTTGATCTAATGATCAACGAACGAGTTCAGGCGATCGTCGGGCCACAGACCTCCGATGAAGCATCCTTCGTCGTTGACCTCGGAAACAGGAGCAAGGTCCCGGTCATCTCCTTCTCGGCGACAAGCCCATCTGTCTCCCCGGTGAAGACCCCGTTCTTCGTCCGCACCGCAGTGAACGACTCCTCCCAGGCAAAATCCATAGCCGCCCTCGTCAGAAAGTTCGGCTGGAAACAGGTCGTTCCGATATACGAGCAGTCGGAGTACGGGACAGGGATGATGCCGTACATCGTTGATGCGATTAAAGCCGTCGGAGCTCGCGCTCCTTACAGTAGCTCCATCCCGCCGTCAGCGTCCGATGATTTCATCTCGAAGGAGCTCTACAAGCTGATGAACATGGAGAGCCGGGTCTTCCTTGTCCACATGACGACGAGGCTAGCTTTGAGATTCTTTGCGAAGGCCAACGAGGCAAGAATGATGAGCAAGGGGTTCGCGTGGATTCTGTCCGAAGGGTTGACCAGCCTATTGGGCACCGTGGAACCATCGGTCCTTCGTAAGGACCTGTTAGGTGTCGTCGGCCTGAAGCCCCATGTCGTTAAATCAAATAAGCTCCAGGATTTCAAAAGCAGATGGCTTAGGGATTCTCGGAAGGAGAATCCTCTGTCTGATATCTCCGATCTGACTGTCTATGGGCTGTGGGCATACGACACGGTCTGGGCACTGGCCATGGCGGCTGAGAAAGTCGGTGCGGTTGATCCAGGCTATTCTCAGTTAAGGGGACTTAGGGATCCGCCAGATCTGACTGCACTCGGGTTCTCCAACACAGGTGAACGACTTCTCGATGAGATCCTTCGCACAGAGTTCACCGGCGTCAGCGGTCATTTCCAGCTCGTCGGGGGTCAACTTAACAGACCAGCCTTCGAGATAGTCAACGTTGTAGGCGAGGCTGAAAGGACGATCGGGTTTTGGACGGAGGATCGCCTGACTCGGGACATCGATGGAGACCGCTCAAGCCCTTCCACGGACGAACTTTCCACAGTCATCTGGCCCGGAGATACGGTGGTGGTGCCGAAGGGGTGGGTCAATCCAATGATCGGGAAGAAGCTGAAGATCTTAGTGCCTGGTCCTGTCGATCCGGGGTTCCATCCTTTCCTGAGGGCGGACCCCGACCCACAGACAGGGAAGCTGGTCGTCAGCGGGTTCGCCATCGAAGTGTTCGAAGCCGCTTTGGAGCAGCTGCCGTATGCCTTTCCAGTTGAGTACTTCCAGCTCCATCGACCCGACGGGATGCCCTCACCCAAGTACAATGACCTCGTCCGCCAGGTGTTCGAGCAGGTCTGCCCTTCAAACCCGATAAGTTATTATTAATTTTATCTCAAATGATGCGTATTCGTGAAATCGTCTGATTCAAATAGAGGGATTTTCTGATTACCGTAGCTTTACCTGATAATTAAGGTCCAGCTACAAATCAGGATACATGGTATGATTTACATGTAAGGATTAAATGAACATGTCAACTATTTTCTGTATCATCGGCAGAAATTCGATGGGCTGGTGGGGGACGTGACGATCACGGCCAACCGGTCGAACTACGCCGATTTCACGCTCCCCTACGCGACGTCCGCGGTGTCGATGGTGGTGCCATTGAGGGACGACCGAAGAATGAGCGCGTGGATTTTCATGAGACCGCTGAGTGGGACGCTTTGGATAGTCAGTGGGGCCTTCTTCGTCTTCACCGGTTTAGTGGTGTGGATTCTTGAGCACCGAGTCAACGACGACTTCCGTGGCCCGTTGGGCCACCAGATTGGCACCGCGTCCTACTTCATTTTCTCTACGCTTGTCTTTTCACACAGTAAGTAAACTCTCTCTCTCTCTCTCTCTCTCTCTCCCTCCCCCTCTCCCTCTCTCTCCCTATATTTTTTGTTATTATTATTATTGAGGGACTAACGGACGCCGACAATCTGGTGGATATAAATGTCTAGAACATGGGCTTCTTTGACCATTCCTTACCTTCTTTTGTCCATTTGGTCCACTGGAGAGGGACGGTGTTCCTTCCATTGGAAGACCCATTATCAAGGGTTTCTTGCGATTAAAAACTCGTTGTTGTTCATTTGAAGAGCATAAAACCTAGAAAATCTATTGACAACGGACTTTTTTATTGTTTCTTGATTGACGCTTGGCTTCAGAGGAGAAGATGGTTAGCAACCTATCAAGGGTGGTGGTGATCATTTGGGTGTTTGTTGTGCTGGTATTGCAGTCGAGCTACACCGCCAGCTTGACCTCCATGCTCACGGTGAAGCACCTAAGGCCGACCACTACAGAGTTCAAGGAACTCATCCGTCGGGAAGAGTATGTCGGGTACCTAAGAAATTCTTTCACCAGAGGAGTGCTCTTGGAGGAGGGCTTTAAAGAGGAGAAGCTGAAGCCCTTTAAGTCACCCGAGGAGTACCGTGAGGCCCTCTCTAAAGGGAGCAGAAACGGAGGCGTCGGCGCCATCGTCGACGAGATCCCATATCTCAGGTTCTTCCTCAAGGACCACTGCAATGATTACACCATGGCGGGGCCACGCTACAAAGCTGGGGGATTCGGATTCGTGAGTCCCCTCACTTGTGTCGCTCTTACAAGATCACATTCCCCATTTGAGTTGAATGGTTTAATGCATCTCAATGATTCTTACCTAATTTCATAAAACGTCTAGGTCTTCCCCAAGGGATCTCCCCTGGTACCCGACCTCTCGAGGGCCATCCTGGAAATAGCTGAGGGCGACAGGATGGTGACGATCGAGAAGAGATGGTTCGGAGACCTGGAGAGCTGCGTCTTCCAGGAGAGCAGCCTTACATCCGATAGCCTCAATTTTGCCAACTTCTGGGGTCTCTTTCTCATCACAGGCGTCGCCTCCGGCGCAGCATTTCTGGCGTTCTCGTCCTCATTCGTATATCAGAAACTGCAAGCTCCGCGAGAAACCGACTCTGGCGAGACCCTCTGGCAGAAAGTGACGGAGTTGACTAAAAGTTACAACGAGAGAGATTTGAACTCCTACACGTTCAGGAAGCAGGCAAAGGATGAGAGGAGATCGAACAAGGGGGATTCGCTGGGATCTTCATGTGGCTGCGGGGGGAGCGCCAGAGACCCAACGGCTTCACCTTTCACCGACAGGTCGGGATATGGAATGGCGTCGCCGTACACCAGTGGCTGTCCGACACCATTAAGTAACTTCAATCAAACGGAAGGGGGAACTCCAGTTCCGAATCTTGCTAGCCCTCCCGAACGCGGGTCCGTCTCTTATAGAGAGCACATCGAAGCAACTCGAGAGTAAATATGATCCGAAGAGTTCGGCTGTCGATCGTCGAAGGTATAGTCCTGTTGACTGAAGATGATCCTCACGAGGGGTCCGAAGGGTTGACTCTCGAAATTTTTTTTACTGGGGAACGGCTTTCAGCTCCTTGGCTCTCTCTGGAGCTCGGAAGACAAGGCTGACCAATCATAACTTTCAGCTTCATCCCTTTGGTCTCTACAACCTCATTTGGGAATTTCTATTGGAGCTTATTTCACATGAGTTTTTGATTCATTTTTATTATTTAACGATAATTCTCCCATGCGTTCTTCACAAGGACGTGACAATTGGTATACAGATTATATACCGTACCATGTAATCGATGTTAATTATTATTTTTAAAATTCAACGTTCTATTTGAATCATGGCACTGAAGCAGATTTGTTTATATATTGTTTCACTTATTGGAAATGTAAGGCATTAATTCACACAACACTCTAGTGACATTTGGAATTCCTTCAATTGTCAAAGATATTGGTAAATTCGTGATTTTGATGTCGGAAAGTAACACATGACAGTAAATTTGAAGCTTTGATAAGAAGTGAGTTACGGTTGATTTAAATAAATGTCCAAGGATGTTTCTGGTTATCATCTGTAGGCAAAGATTTTTAGTTACTATCTCCTTACAGGATGAAAGCAGTAGGGAGTAGCGTTAGACCCCCAACTGGTATCGGATGAAAGACTCACGGGATCCTCTTACCCACGTCGGAGAAACTAACCTGACGGATAGGTTGGTGCCCACGTATCTCCGGAAACCAACCAAAGCTATGGAAGATCTCGAAGATGGATGACGGACGTGGCAGAAGTGGGCATCCGATCATGGGTCCATAAGGATTATGAAGGTTGACCAACTCACGATAAGGGGAGTGGAGGAGGTTTCCGGGTAGTTTCCTAAGGTAGCTGCGGCTGTAGGAGAGCGGGAGGCCTCTCGAACGTCCCCACTGACTCTAGGGTTCTCGGGAGCCCAAGCTACTCTTTTTACTGTTTTATCTTCTATTTTCCATTTTTATATCCCATATTTATGTTCCCATTATCAGTCCAGATCCGGGTTCCCGTTATTCCTTCCTTGATTTTCGGTCCTCCGGATCGTATTCCGGACGGGAGTCCTACCAATCGTCTTCTTCTTCTTTCTCTCCCATCTCTTCCTCTCATTTCTTCTTCTTCTTCCTCTCCATTCTTCTTCTGCTCCTTCCTCTCCTTCCATAGCCTCTTTTTCTCCCTCATCACACTCAACCGTCAACTCCAAAAGTCAGAGGTTAGGGTTTTTACGGATTGTTTTGCTGATGTAGAAAACAGTATTCGGTTATCGGATAAGGAAACCTGTCATTCGTTTTCGTTTCTAGCCGCAGTAATCGGTATCGATTTCGGTTTAACGGCGTATAGATCTGAAACCTTTTAATCTCCATCCAGAAACCAGAAAGCCTTAGATTTACGCCAAATGCACAGATCTATCATGCCTTAAGTTCAGAAGCAATGATCAGAACTATTTCACCTTAAATTCAAGCCCAGTAATAAGATCAGTTGCACCTTATTTATACCTAATTTAAACAGAAATAAATCCAGATAAAATGCAGAAATATTACACAATATTACTTGATGAATAATATTCAAATATAGATGTCCATATTTTTGTATCCTCTTATATTATCCTACAAATACTTAGAATACCCTTTATACATTTTCGCACTTCATGAAAATATCAAATTATTCTTAATGTGTTATGGTCATCATCAAGACACATAAGTCATCAGCTACTTGTGAAGGAATTAACAGCTCCATTGAGCAACATGATAGACAAAAAGTAATTAGAGTTGTGAATACACAAACTTGTAAGAGTAATACAGGTTTACTAAAAATCCTTATACGTTATAAAAAATGCATACATACTTTGAGTATTTTACGAAAACAAGAAGTTCATTCATAATTAAAAACAAAAATCAGGAGACAACTAAGGTTGTCAATTTGACAAACTTTTAACCAGGTCAATCTAAAAACATGCCAACCAAAGATATTTATCTAACTTACCCTTGATATTAAAACTTGTGGGTCAATACAGTGGTCGTTCTTTAATATAAACCATTTGATCCTTAACATTTTTCAAGTCTAGCGTTTTTGTTCCTCTCTTCATTGTGCTCTATTTCCTCTATATTATGTTCGTCATAATTAGATCATCTACTAATTGTTCTCAATTTGATGAACTTTTAACAAAAGGATTAGATATGTTTGTTAAAATATAAAATCATCTTCATAGTGAATACGATCCAGAAATATTGAATTATTTGTAGTGTATAATTTCAGATTTAATAAGATGAAATGATAAACACTGCCATTTTATACATAACTAATGAATGCAACATTCATGGTTTTTTTGTCTAACTTTTTTGAAAGGATTTTAACTTCTCCAAGATAATCAAACTTTCAATACGTTATCCCTAGTTTTTATACAAAAACTAATATTTTTTTAAAGGAAACCTTTGTAGAATATAATGTATAATCAAGAATGCTTCATCCTCCCACACAATTTATAGTTTCAACCTGGTAAGTATTGAATTTACAGTATCAAATAAGGGTTTGAATTTTTTTTTCAAACTATCTCAGATTATTGGCTTTCAGAGGGTATGATTTTAAGAATAAGGGTATGTCTGTTCCGTATATGTATCCTCCACATCTATTTTTTATAGTTGTCACTTGTTATTTTAGTTTTCTTTTCTACGGGATTTTCTTAAGTCACAAACTTTTTAATCATATTATCTTTTCTGTTCAACAAATACATAATTAATTAATTAACTAAAAGACATAATAACGCATGGCAGGGTTTTGTTCACATGTCGATAGGCTAGCTATTAGATTCTTTGCCAATGCCAACGAAGCAGGAATGATGATCCTGTCCGAAGGGTTGAACAGCTTATTGGCCACCGTGGATCCATCTGTCCTTCGTGAGGACCTGTTAGGTATCGTCGGCTTGAAGCCCCACGTACGAAATCAGAGAAGTTCCAGAATTTAAAAAGCAGATGGCTTAAAGTGTCTCGGAAGAAAAATCCTGACTCCGATATCTCTGATCCGACCGTCTACGGGCTGTGGGCATACGACACGGTCTGAGCACTGGCCATGATGGCTGAGAGCGTCGGTGCGGTTGACCCAGGCTATTCTCAGCGAAGGACGCTTAGGGATCCGACAGATCTGACCGCGCTCGGAGTCTCCAATACATCTCAACGACTTCTCGATGCGATCCTTCGCACAAGTTCACGGGCGTCAACGGTCATTTCCAGCTCGTCAGTGGTCAACTTCACAGACCAGCCTTCGAGATAATTAATGTGATCGACCAAAATGAGAGGACGATCGGGTATTGGACGGCGGAGTACGGCCTGATATGGGAATTACTCTGCCCGGGGAACACAACGGTGGTTCCCCTGGGGTGGGTCAATCCGATGATCGGGAAGAAGCTGAACATCTTAGCCCCTGGTCCTGTTGACCCGGGGTTCTACCCTTTCTTGAGGGCAGATCCCGACCTGAAGGCTCATGAGCTCGTCGTTGGTGGGTACATCATAGAGGTGTTCGAAGCCACCGTGAAGGAACTGTCGTCTGCACTTCCTACTGAATATCACCAGCTCCGAGGAACCGACGGCAAGCCCGCGGGCAATTATGATTACCACGTCAGTCAGGTCTTAGATCAGGTCGACCCCTTAAACCTTATAAATTATTTTACTTGTATCTTAAATGATGCGAATTCATGAAATCTATGGTAAAAATAGATGGGTATATTCATAATCATGGCCCTCGTATAAATTACAGTCTAGCAATCTATGAGTATATACTATATTGCTTTTCATGTAACTAAGGTTTCCATGAAGATGGTAAACTGTGTTCTGTCGGCAGAAATACGATGGCCGGGTTGGGGACGTGACGATCACCTCCAAACGTTCAAAATACGTCGATTTCACCGTCCCCTATACGGCATCGGGGGTGTCCATTATGGTGCCGTTGAAGGACGACCGGAGTAATAACGCGTGGACCACAGACTGGGACGCTATCGAGTAATAGTCAGCGGGGCCTTCTTCGTCTTCACCGGTTGTGTCGTTTGGATTCTTGACTTCCGGGTGCCGTTTGGCCACCAGATTGGCACCGCCTCCTACTTCATCTTCTCCACACTGGTCTTTTCACACAGTATCTCTCTCTCTCTCTCTCCCTCTCTCTCTCTCTCTCTCTCTCTCCCTCCCTCTCGTCTCTCTCTCTCTAACTCGCACACACACACTTCTTAGAAGCACAAAACCTACGAAATTTTATTGACAATAGAGGCATACGGAGTAAATGAAGCTCTAACTACGGCCACCAGAAGGATGAGGAAGAGGAGACGTCAGAGCCCTGATTTCAGCCGCCGGAGAGAAGAAACAGGATTTATCTCTCATTTTTGTCTCTTCCCGAGTCTCCCCCCTTTTAATACCTGCATTACAAAGGGGCCAGGTTGGTCTCGTACCTGAAAACCAGTCCATAAAGTAAAATAAAAGGAGGGAGATAAGGTACGGACGAACCTCTCCCAGAAAAGGGGTTGACTAAGTCACCCTTACCCGAGGAAGGCTGCAATTCCTACAGGTTCAGGAAGCAGGCTAAGGATGAGACGAGATCGAAAAAGAGGGGATTCTTCGGGATCTTCATGTGCCTGCTGGAGGAGCCACAGAGACCCGATGGCTTCACCTTTCACCGACAGATCAGCATTTGGAATGGTGTCCCCGTACACCGGTGGCTAGCCGATATCGTTAAGTTCAATCAAACGGAATGGGGAAGTCCAGTCTCGACTCTAGCTAGCCCTCTCGAACGTACGGCAGTTTCTTGTGGAGAGATTACAGGGAGAAACTCTAGAGGAAATAACTTGCAGATGGAAAACATATCGGTCAATGGTGGGAATTGTCCCATCGACTGGAGAAAACCGCCATGAGGGATGGAAGGGACGACAATTGATACTTAATTGTGGAAGGGCTTTCAGC